ACCTAAAATTGTTTTTAAGGTTGTTTCCAGAGTGCAAAAGTTACAAATGTTGTCCACAAAAACAGCCTGTATGAACTTAAACAAAATGTAAGTGAGTGCATTACGAACAAATAAATCTAAAATTTGCTGTCAAACAGAAGGAGGAAAGATGAAATAATCTCAAGAAGCTACAATATTTTTTAATTAAGACATACGGTAACATGTGCAATCCGACCAGTTGCTGAAGTATCATAATAACTAGTGTGACAAAAGTACATTAAGTATCCAAAAACATCGCAGACACCTGCTTTTTAATAGTCAGATTTGGATTTATTTAAAAAAAAGTTAATCAAAAATGATCTCTTACATCTTGGGGGGACTTTTACAGGATGTAATTGCTTTAGATTTTTTTTAATCTTCTTTGACAGATAACAACTATCATGTATAATTAAAAAGTTAGTTTTATAAATTGCACTGATTTGTGAATTTACTGTTTCTTAAATACATTTACACCCTTTTGACAGTATTTAGTTTAGAAATAATCCACAGACAGTTAAAGTTCTAATTCAACAACTGTATCCTCAAAAAAGAAAAAGGTAAAAAAAAAGCATTAACAAAATATAGATTTGTTTTGAGCCAAATTTCACCTTACTGACCTTTCATCTTCATAAGTCTTAAAATTTTCACTGTAAAATGTAAAGCGAAAACATAGAAAAAATACAAAATACTTTAAATGCCAGTCACCCGAAATACCGGTAGATCCAGAGCGACATCTGTGGCCTGTGTGTTTTTGATTGAAAATGCCAACATGGAGGGAGGGAACTTTCAGAGTGTGTCAGCAGAGGACAACATGACATAGCAAATAACAAACTTCCTGCAATCTAAACAATCTCTTTAAAGCATTAACAATAGCCCCACCCCTTTTCGTGCTAAATATTCTACATTTGAGCTGAATGTTTGTGAACCATGTTAAGTAAAAGTACAGAAACAATATGTAGCTTTTAGGTTTCAAAGTATGTCAAAAACAGAAATATAATACCTACTTCTACACAATGGAAATAACACAATGGTTTTCATCTTCTTTTTTTGTTTTCTTTTTAGAATGTCAACGTTAAAAAACGTCTGCGCCACAACGGCCATGCTGCTTGGCCTCGTTCTGATGCTTGCTTACATCAGCGACACTGAAGGCCCCTTTGACTCTCAAAATGTTAACAGCCGTACTCTGGAAAGTGTACGCGTCGCTGCAGACGATGAAGATGGCAACTTTACAATAGAACCCTTACCCTCAAGATGTGAACRAAATACCTCAGTTGCAAATATCTCTGGTTTTGAATCGCTGTCTCCTCAGATTCAGACATTCCTTTACTATCGCCACTGTCGCAGTTTCCCAATGATACTTGACCTCCCTCACAAATGTGGACGACCAAATAAACCTGAGGATATCTTCCTTTTGCTGGTTATTAAAAGCCCCCCTAAGAACTATGAGCACAGAGAGGTGCTGCGCAAGACTTGGGCTAAAGAAAGGACGCACAACGGGAAATGGATTCGGACCATCTTCATCACAGGAACGGTTGGTTCAGGATTTGAGAAACAGAGAATGAACAAACTCCTGGCTCTAGAACATCAACAATACAACGACATCCTTCAATGGGACTTTGATGAATCCTTTTTCAACCTGACTCTGAAGCAGATTCTCTTCCTTGAGTGGCTGGACAGAAGATGTCAACATGTTCATTTCCTGATGAATGGCGACGATGATGTTTTCGCCCACACAGAAAACATGGTAGAGTACCTCCAGAGCCTCAAGGACAACAATGGGAGCAAGCACTTCTTTACCGGGCACTTGATCAAAGATGCGTTTCCCAATAGAGATCCGAACAGCAAGTATTATATTCCACCTCAAGTGCACGAGCAAACCCCA